CGGTACGGCTGGGGTACGGTTCGCTTCTTGGTGGCAGTGGAAAAGCTCTAAGTTACTGCCCTATATTTCTTGGTATAGGCTGCAGGCTCACTGTCACCCTTTGCATATAACTATATATGCAGTTATAGAAGACAGACTGTTAATGAAGCAGTCAACAATACTATATTTCTGCCTTTAACTGCTTGAACTTTGCATTCAAACACAGAATCACTGGGAGGTATAATTATGTCATACATACAGGCAATAATTAGCATGCATTCTGAATGTCACAAAGCAGCACTGGCCTAAAGCCTAGAGCTCAAAAGCGGCCTGTCCTTGGGGCAGCAGTCCCACAGCCCTGCCTGGCGTAGCACGTTCCGCACCTCAGAGCCTTTAAGCAAATTGGCCAACAGACGAGAACATTTCCGCATTTTTGAACAAGGTAGCTAATTCATTTGCAACCTGGGTTTCTGGAGCCAGGCTTTGAAGGAAGAGACAGTGAGGTGGGGGGAGGGGTGGCGTCACTGATGCAGTGAGGCAGACAAGCACGGCTTATTTCAGAATGCTAATGTACCTTTTGATCCCTCTCTGTCCTCCGAATATGCAGCACAATAGCATGCTGGATTCATCGCTGCTGCCTTATTGATTGCCTGTTAGGATCAACCGTCTGAAGACTGTGAAAAGACAATATGTACTCATATATACTGCATGTCCATGTTAAACTGTGCTGTATTCACATTGGCTGTAACAAATCCATTGAGATCCAATTACAGAATGCCTGGGCATTTTTCAAGCAGATTCTTAAAGACTAATTAATTTCTCATGTAAATGTAGGATTACTTGATATTTATGAAACATCTCATGCATTTCTTGAGAGTAATTGGCCTTTGTTGTACAGCTCTGTTAAGTTCTCCTTGACATAAAATGCAGACCAATGATCTAATATTATGACGGTATTAGCAGCGGAACCTATTACCAATAACCCCCAACTTAATGATAAGACATATAAGACAATAAGTGTAAGAAAGGGGCAAACCAATAAGCTACATGTTTTATACATTATTTGCCCAGAATGTTTGCACTTGATCACTTTGCTGTTTGACTTTCTACCATGATTTGAATACTAGACTTAAAGGATACTTGACATAAATATCTAAAAGCTTACATCATAAACTGCAGTGTGAGAATATTCAGTCAAATCCCAACTATACCATTCATTTTTTCGCAGCGAAAATACCTTTTAAAAAAACATTAAACAACGTTACACTTGGCAAACAAACAAAACATCACACTCACCTGTGAAATGATGCTCAGTATTAAGAAATAATTGCTTAGGAAAAGTAGTTGGAAGATGTTGGGATGGATGGATAATTAATGATACAGTGTCTGGTTTTGAGAGCTAATATTGCATCATCAGTCACCTTTTCACCAAACTGATTGACCTACTTGGGCCTTATGGTTATGCTCAGCAAAAGGCAAGCATTTGACAGAATAAAAGGTTGTGTTCCTCAGCTAAGAATGTTTGCTGACACCCGCCATCAGCACCAGTCAATCACCATCACAGAGCCTGTTGCCTGGGGTGCTAATGCCGCGGAGATGGGGAGCCGGTCTGGTCTTCTCTCACCCCTACATCTGCTGCCTGCAAGTCCCCCATTTGTGCCCGTCCTGGTTGGTGATAAGCCTCCTCTGCCTATTAGACCAGCCAAATGGCTTAAATTAAATGTCACCTCTCTGTGTTGCAGCTGGCCCCGTGTCACCTCAGGCGTGAAATACACACCTCTGATTACTGGAACATTTCGGGCGGCTAGAAGAGCACAGTTAGCAGCAAAAGCGCAGCAAATGGACTGAGCTGCTCTACAGGGTGTAGGAACGTGTAGACGGAGAGGAAAATCGGAAATGTTATATCACAAAATTACTGTATTCCATTATATTTTGGCGTAGTGGGGTAAATAATATATGTGGATAAAATGAAAGGGTATTCACAAGGCTGAAACTTTGGTTTGAACATGGGGGGGTCGCTGGGTTGCGGTCTCCACCTATTTAGGGCAAGACATGGTTTTTGGGAAAACGCTTCTTGTATGTGGTCGGTGTTCATTAATTGTTCATTGGTAAATGTTCATTGCTGCGCATGTGGTCTTACCTTCAAACGACACCCTGTGAAAATACTGGCATTCATTAGCGCCCCCCAGGTCGCGATTTGAACGTGAGCCAGTCACATCCCCCCGTTTGCTAACTTTAAATTAAAATACCTGTTAACACCAGAGCAGATGGCTTATCTTGTTTGTCTGACTCTAACGCTCTTACTGCCACAACAAAGGTCTTTATCACAGCTACGATCTTCCTTGATCACATCTCTAAGCGGCCAACAACTATCAGCCCAAGGTGACAAGACTAACCAACGGATTTTTTCAACCTCGACAATAATATTCATAACAACGGATGTCAATAAATAAACACAGTCAAATGAATGAATGAATGAATGGGCCAGGTGAATGACGCGTGTGTGGTTGGGGATTACAGGCCAATAAAAATATGGCATCAATATGGCATAATTAAAGAAAATGTCTGTGATAATTAAAATATAAAATATGCGACATCGAATAATTTGAGTGCCTTTGGTTTCATTTTATGAAGGAGATAAGCTTTAACCCCTTTAAAGCCTTTTATAGTGACAAACAACTCATTTAGCCTAATTGTTTAACAATTATCCATCAGACCCCCTAACTGGTCATAAACCAGGGATTTATACGCCAAATCTGCCTGAATCTGTCTGCTTTGGTGTAAGGCCATTTAACCTGCTGTCGCTTTGGACATCTGTTTCCCTGTCGATGTTTGCTTTCCACACATTTGATGTGTTCCGGTGATATTTTTTTTGATATTTTGAACTCAGAGAAGAAAATGAGATTAATTTAATGAATATATTTATAGCTACACTTAGTAGCCTACGTGACATTTCTCTTCGGAGTAATACGATTAATTTTATTAATCGACGGTAGATTTATAAGGGGATATTAGTGAACACCAATTCACAAACAGCACCATGGAGACAGGAATCGGCGCTGTAGGTACGCTTATTCTTTGATCAGTTTTTTTTTTTTTAAATGGAACTTTACTTGCCACTTTGCGAAACAAGTTGTACGGCGGATCTCGGTCTCACTCGAGGACCATATGTTGTTGAAGGTAACAGGTTGAAGTCAGCCGCACTGAAGCAATTCAGGGCACCGCCAGTTTCTTTCAGCGATTCCAGATCAATTGCCTGATAATGAATCCCCGGGGGAGTTCGAATAATGATTGATCAAACGTCACTTATTGTAGCGGGACAAAACCCGCCGGAGCATGTAAATTTGTACCTGTGAAGTCGGAAGTGTACGCTTCGCCTGATCTACTCCAAACATATCTGCACACGAAAAGAGGCAGTTGTTGGAAATCTAATGAATTTGCCAAGGAATTTATAGTGCACTTAAATGGATTCTGAAACTGATGTATTGTAGCCTATATAATATAATACACATGGATGCAAAATCTATCATGATAATTTAGCATAGTTTTAAGCTGTTGGACATTAACAGAGCTAAATATTCTTTAGTAAATACATAAACCAATAAATCAATCCGTTTTTTTATATGTAGCCTCATTGGGGCTGCAGTCTTACTCTGGATATTTACGGATACATTTGGGTTTAATTAGCCTACCTCACAAAAGGGTACAAAGGAGCTCAATTTGTGAGCTTTGCATGAACCTACTACCTTCAGGTCACAAGAGCATTTGCTAATCAACCTCTTGTTGCACAAGCAATAAAATCCAGACAAAGTGAATTCATTAAGAAACGAAAATTCTGTGAAGCGTCTTAAGTGTTTAAATCAAACAGGAAGTTTCTGTTCTCGGGTGCTGAAGGTCTCATTTCATGAACAAACTTAAAACCTAAAAGACTGAAACACACTGAGGTACCGGATCTGTTAGGCGTACTATTTATTTCCTTACATAGGCGTCTTAATCTCATCGTTAGCATGCCATCGAATTCATGTAACTAAACAAGACATCTGGGTAGTAAATAAGCATGACCAAATAAAGTCTTTCCTATCTTTGTATGGGTGTACACACATTAAATATCTGATAGCGACTGTGTGAAATGTATAATATTTTGATGAAGATGTTCTGCTCAAAACGGTGGTAGCACCGCTGCTTCACGGATCCAAGGCTTTTTAATTGTTTGCATCTTATCCCCGTGTTGCCAGGGGATTCCTTTGCACTCTGCATTCCTCTATCATTGCAAAGGCTATTCCAGAAAAGTGATAATGGTCGTGCATTGTTTAGTTTTCTGTATGCCTAAACCCAGTGATGGACCGGCTAGGGTGAATCTTACTATGCGTATTACTCCGGATTACTACTGGAATCCAAAACTTAAAATGTTTGTCCCCCTGTATTTGTCCACCTGTTTTTAAACTGTGCTAGCAGCTCCTTCTATCGAGGTAGCTGTCTGTTTTATAGTATTGGCAACAAGAAAGCAGATCCTGATTGTCCTTCTTAGAAGCCTATTTACCTACGAGAGCATTGTAACCTCCGACGTTAGTTAGTACATTTAATATCAATAAATCATAAATGCGTTTTACACTAAATTGTTTAAACCATAGTGCGTATTATATACAAATATATAAAAATTCCATAGGTTATTTATACACGAATTATATCACTTAAAGTATCAGTCTCCCATGGTCAAATAGTTAAGTCTATCGGACGTCTTACTCTGACTGGAAGCCTTTAAGCTAGGTAGACCAATTTGTAATAAGTTACACATTATCATTCAAATGCAAAATGCTTTTAATTTTTGGGACGTTGGAATTTTTACAGTTGTGTTATGGTGAATCGCTTTGAAATTACATTCTTATTATAAATCTTGTGGCTATAACGTGTTAGAAGGTTAAAAGTGCCTGGTAGATACTTGGGACAAACTGACACACGACACAGAAGGTATCTGTAACTGCATGTAAACATCCCAATTTGCGCACCATTTGTGTGGGACACCCAAGTAATTCCATATGGGGAAAACACAAACCGGCCTGCAAATTGATAGGCTCCATTTGGTAGATGAAACAGACAGATCGAGTGTTCATTGGTCAACAAATAACTTATTTGCATAAGCAACTGTTTAAATACAATGGGGATCGGAAATAGTGATACAAAGACGACAGTGTTTGTAAATGAGCAACTTATGATCGCCTAAACGGTGAATCTAGTCCACGCTTATTTTTCGCTTTATTCTTTAGGAATACTGTTTTCTTAGATAACAGACATGATTTTATGGAAGATGAGTGCACAGATTGTTTGTGTGCTGGTCTTTATTTGGCTGCGTACAACTCATTGTACAACTACGAAATACTACACTTACGAAGAGGACGCTCCCGGCACCGAAATTGGAAACCTGTCAAAGGATTTGAAGATCGAACTGGGACAGAACTCGCAGACAAGTTTCCGCTTCATGCAGAAGACTAATTTTTCCCATGTCCACCTGAGACAGATCGACGGACTTCTTACGGTCGGGGAAAGTATTGACCGGGAAGAGCTTTGCCCCCAGTCGCTGGAGTGCTTGATCACCTTTGATATTGTCATCTTTTCCAAGGACAGGTTCCAGTTGATTCATGTAGAGATCGAAGTGATGGATATAAATGACAATTCGCCACGATTTCCCTCCAACGAATCTTATCTGGAGATTTCAGAAAATGTGGCCGTGGGTACAAGGTTCCCGCTGGACATTGCGGTCGACCGGGACGTCGGCATTAACTACATTCAAAGCTACCAGATCTCTTCCAACAGCCACTTCGACGTTGAAGTGCGAGAAGAAGAGGACGGACTAAAGTACGCCGAACTCATTTTGTTGAATGGACTGGACAGGGAAGCGGACGATTTCTATACAATCGAACTGACAGCTGTGGATGGTGGGAAACCACCCAGGACGGGATCGATGACTGTTAATATAAAAGTGCTGGACTTCAATGACAACAGTCCGACCTTCGAGCACAGTTCTCTCAAAGTCGAACTTAATGAGGACGAGCCCCTGGGGTTTCTTCTGCTCAAAGTGCACGCTTCTGACCCTGATGCCGGCATTAATGGTGAAGTCGTATACGGTTTTGCCGAAGATACCTCAGACGAGATACGCCGTGTATTTCAAATCGACTCCTTTTCAGGTTCCCTGACTTTAAACGCCGCCGTCGATTACGAAAACAGGAAGTTATATGAGCTAAATATCCAGGCTTACGATTTAGGGTTGAACTCAGTGCCTTCGACTTGCAGAGTCACAGTAGAGATAATCGATGTCAACGACAACGTTCCAGAGATCAGCATCAAACCCATGACTTCTATGAGCGAAGGAGCGGCCTATATCACAGAAGCAGCTGCAGAGGAAAGTTTCGTGGCTCTCATCAGCACCTCAGACAGAGATTCAGGTCCCAACGGCTACGTGCGCATCAGCCTGCATGGGCATGATCACTTCAGACTTCAGCAGGCCTATGGTGACACCTTCATGATAGTAACCACGACGGCTCTGGACAGAGAGAGACTTCCCGAGTACAACCTGACAGTGGTTGCAGAGGACTTTGGTTCTCCTCCTTTCAAAACACTGAAGCAATACACCATCAGAGTGAGCGACGAAAACGACAACCCTCCTTTATTCAGCAAGCTGGTCTATGAACTTGCAGTCATGGAAAACAATGTTCCTGGCTCATACATTGCCACGGTTGTGGCCCGTGATCCAGATCTAGGCGACAACAGCAAAGTCACTTACAAACTTCTAGACGGGGAAGTGACCGGGGGGGCACTGCTCTCCACGTATGTTACGGTGGACCCGGTTTCGGGCTCCCTGTACACGGCACGGTCCTTTGATTACGAAGCTGTAAAACAGATTGAAGTTAAAATCGAGGCAAGTGACAGTGGGTTTCCCCAGCTCTCGAGCACTGCCTTGATTGAAATCAAAGTGGTAGATCAAAACGACAACTCCCCGTATATCACGTACCCCGTTTTGCAAAACGATTCTGCGGACATCCCCATACCGTTCAATGCGCCATCGGGATACATCTCGCTTCGGGTTAAGGCCAGAGATGCAGACGAAGGGTTAAATGGCGAGCTCTCTTACCGACTTATAGAAGACGATCAGATCCTGTTCTCGATGCACAGAGACACCGGAGAAATTGCATTGAAATATGGTTTGTCTTTTCTTTGCGGGGACGTGTTGGAGATCAAGATCGCGGTCAGCGACAACGGAAGGTCCCCCAGGTCATGCAACGCCACGATCCGCTTCGTGGTCGCCGAAATGCAGCTCGCCGACAAGCAAAGTGTGCTTGTTCTGGAGTCTAGCCAAGACGCGTGGTATAACTTGGACGTCTCGCAGGTTGTGATTATTATGCTTGGCGGAGGTTGCGTCTTGTTGATTATAGCAATCGCGACAGTCGCCCTCTCTTGCAAGCGCAACCCAAGAGACAGGGACAGTGATGTCAAGAGAATGACACAAGGACACTTTGAAAAGCACCTGCTTCCGACACACAGCGATGAGGATCCTGACATTTATCAAGGTCCTAAAGCGCTTGTCAGTGGCCAAAATGCTTCTGTACAGCGTGACTCCATCCACTTTTATCGGGAGACCGGGAAAGACCCTTCTAAGGTAGGACTAAACTAATTCAATCTAAGTGAAAGTGTAGGCTATACTGTTTTGTGTTAGTCCTACATGCTAAAAACTAAACTATTATTACTTTCAGGGTTTCCCTGCGATCAGCACGCAGCATTTTGAACCAGTGTCTTTGTGGCAGGGGGATAAGGACAACCTGCAGATTAGGTGAGTGGTGGTCACGTGACACACATAGAATGTGTTGACTATTTTGCTTTGCGAATAAAAAGTCCCACTATAAATACCTATCTTGTTCACTCAAGTTGTAAAGTCCGTTTCAGCAAACTATGGTGACTTTCCTTCTAAACCGTAATGTTCTGCTCTGCAAGATGGTTCGTTTCCGGTTGTGACGTCCCTTTACAATGCCTGTAGCAGAGAGCTGGTTGGTGGTGGCTTCTCCAAATGGAATTCATTACATGAATGGGTCTTAGTTCCACAAATGTTGTTGAATATTTAAAACATGTAAAAGAAAAAAAGCCTAACTCATGTTGACAAGTCAACTATGAGTCACCAAAGGGAAAGAAAGCATTACACTTTTAAAATAAATTTGCATTTATAAACACATGTAAATCTGAGCTGTGCATAAGTAACGGTTTCGCCCTGGGTGAAGACTTGTTTTGCTTTCGTCTATATAGGTCGCAGAAAATTTTTGCCTAGAGGCAAATGGTAATATTTCTGACAGCATAAGTCAATAATCAGATAGGTAATGTGATGTGTCAGAGTGGAGGTTAATTGATGTTTCTGTGTTTACAGTGGTGCTGACCAAATGAGTGTAAAGGACAGCGGCAAAGGAGACAGTGACTTCAATGACAGCGATTCTGACATCAGTGGTTATGGATGCAAGAGAACTCCCAGCATTATCATCAATACACGGGCAAC